CCTGCCCAGTTTAGAAATAGGGCTTTCTGTGTACTGTTTTGTTAGTTTCCTTCAGCTCCCCACCCCCCAGCGCCCCCACTGACAATTTCTAGGTCATTGCCACTCTTAAGACTTCAGCACTTGGAGTGGGGTTGGTTCTGTCAATGATGCGTGAAGCAGCCCAGAGTCCCTGCTTGGCTTCCGCTGCTGCCCTTGTGGGAGCAGAGGCTGACGTGTGTTTGTCAGTGAAGTCTTAAGTGTGATTGGGACGGCCAGGACGGCCGGGGCAGAAGGGAAGAGAGTCCTTTCCTGCTTTTCTCACTGAAGCTGAGAGCTGTGGGAAGGTGGTGGGAGTTTAAGTGGGATGGGACGGGCCTGTGGTTACGAGTTTTTGCCAGGATCGCAGGCCACTCCACATGGAGCAGTGACAAAGAGGCTGACCTACATTTTTCCTTTTGAAGATGGTGGGATGTGTGTGTCTGTCCTGGTCTGTCTGTTTTTTTTAAGAACCAGATTAAGCCTCCATCGTGTTGGGTATTGCCATGGAAAGAACATGGACCCAATAAAGTTGGTATGAATATCAACCCCAAACTGCCACTGACAGTCTGGCTCCATGAAGACTTGCCTGTGGCTAGCTAACTGCGAGAGTGTGTGAGGTCCAGGCTGGCGACCCAGAAATCAGAAAACCTGGCGGACCTTTCCCGCCCCTCCTTTCCCATTGCTCTTGCCCTCACCCCACCCCCAGCACAGGAACTTTGCCCCCCGACTACTTCCTAGTCCTCCCCGATTTTATTAAGTACCCTCTAAACGATAAGCTGGACCTGGTGTACAGGCCTGCAATCCCAGTTCTGCAGGGGGATCACAAGTTCAAGGCTTGCCTGGACTACAAGAGTGAGTTCAAGGCCAACCTGGAGAATTTATGAAAGAGGGCCAGCTCAGAAATAGAGCACTTGCTTGGTGTACACCAAGCCCTGGGCTCAGTCCTTGGTGTGGGGGTGGAAAAGAAAGACACAGTAAGGACCAGTAGCTTAAGCCGCCGCGTTTGTAAAAATGCCTTCACTAAGGCCGGCTGGGGAGACTGCAGGCATGAGGCCTCCAGCTCAATCCCCAGGACACCCCACCACGGATTCACACACTAGTAATCCAATCCCAGCGCTGGAGAGGCTGAAACAGGCAGATCCCTGGGGCCCACGGGCTGGCCGGCTTAGCCTACCCGGTCAGGTCAGGTCAGGTCAGGTAGGAGTCGCCACTGCAGTAAAAAAACAAGCCTGGCAGCTCCGGGGAGTGATACCTACAGTTGACCTTTAGCCTACACAGGCACAAAAATATCTTGACTATGGGGGGCCGGGGGGGAGGGGGAGCCAAAGTGGGGTTTTGTTGTTGTTTATGGTGTAGGGGATTGAACCCACAGCGAGATTTTATTTACATTTGTGTCGGTCTCCCCACTTAACTCTGGTATCTGGTAGCTATTCATTAACTACTTTTCCGTGAACAACACAAGAAAGATACTGCCATCCCCCCATCTTGAGAACAGTTCTCAGCTGGAGGTAAACTCTGCTGCCCAGGCGCTCAGGTGGGCTGGGCCCCTGCAAAAGGCCTCGGGATTGCAGCTCCCTGGCATGTTTGTTGATCAGACCTCAGCCCTTGGGCTGGATGTCCTAGTCATTGGCTTCGGGCGATCTTGGTTGCTTCAGGGAGGCTTTGGCTATGGGTTGGAGACTTGGCCTGCAGGCTAGGAAGAGGTGGTTCAGTCCAGAAGTTACCTAACGTCCCCAGAGATCGCCCAGAAAAAAAACGGCCTCTCGTCTGTAAGGGACCGGGGAAGAACCCACCTTGGATGTCCTACTTTCTGGCTTTGTGGGGGAAGTTAGCTCAGTTTCCTCCTCTGCCGTCTGTTCCCCTCCACAGAGGAAGGTGCGCGGGGCAGAAGTGTGCCCGCTGGTCTTCTCTGACTCCGACTCCACCAGTCCGGACCCTGCCGGCGGAAGCTAAGAGGGTGCAAGGAGAGCCCGGGCAGAGGCTGGAGCGAAGGCTGGCAAAAGGAGAGCCGGCCCCGTGTTGGCTTTTTTTTTTTTAATTTCTAATTGAGTTCTGAATCAGCCTCCTTCGCTTTGATCCCTCCTCTGTTTCCCACACTGCCTGAAAGAGCTGGATCAGCACTTTGTAACAAGGGTGCGCCCGCTCCCCGCACCCCCCCTCCCCGACGCTCTCTGCTGCCGCCATCCACGGCTTGTCTCCTTCAGTTAAGATAATGAAGATACTGAGAGATAAAATGTGTATTTAATAAGGGTGGGGGCAGGGAGGCGGAAAGGGGCAGCCAGGGCCTTCCCTAGTTTGGGGCCTCGCCAAGACTCTGGCTGGAAGCAAAGCTAGAGTAAGACTTGGCTTCGGGGTGTGGGGGTTTCTGGGCCTCAATCCAGCTGACTTCCCGGCCTGCTGTTTGCCCTAAATTCCCCCACCTCCACCCTCTCGCCGCCACACTCCTTCCCTCTCTGCTTGCTCCCAGTGGGGGGAAAAAAAGGAGTCGCGCTTGACTTTCTTTTCAGCTGGTAACTTGGCCTTTGCTGGGGTCCCCCCACCCCAGTGTCAGCTGCAAGGTCAGGCTAGGGCAGCCCCCCTGTAGCCGAGGCCCTGTAGAAGCTGTGGGTTCACAGTGGGGGGCGAAAACGCTGGAGTTAATGAAGGCCAGCTGCCCGGCTGGGTTCTGCCTACAGCAAGCTGGAGGCCAGCCTTCGGTGGTGGTTAGGGGGAGGGGGAGGGTGACCTCCATTCCTGGGTACAAGGATATCCTGTAGCAGCTGGGCCTGTGCTTCTCCAGGAGCTTGGTTTCATCCTCGGCTTGTTAGAGTCGTCTGCTTCTCCCCTCCTCGGTTCCTCCCCTCCCCAAATACCACTGGGCTCTTACTGAGCTCTCTCACTGGAGTGGTGGCCCAGCTGAGATCTGAGGATCTCCAAGCCCTTTGGTAAACACTCATTAACTGCCTGGGAAGAATCCGGAGTCCTGTTTAACAGCTGGGAGAGAACTGAGGCACATGAGGGTGAAAGGCTTGACCTGAGCTCACCCCGCAGACTCCACCCTGGGGCTTCCATCCACGCCGTCTCGCTCCTCCTTCCAGTTCTTCCTGCGAGCCGGTGAGCTTGGAGACTCTGCGGCTGCCCTCTGCCCTTCTAGGAAGAGGCCACTGCTCTCTCCCATCCCTCAATGTGCCCTGGACTTCTCCTGGCCCTTCATTCCATGACATTTCCCCCACATCTGCTGCTGCTGCTGCTGCTGCTGCTGCTGCTGCTGCTGCTGCTGGAAATAATACGCAACACTCCTTGCAAAATGTTCTCAGGCCAGCGCTCTGCAGACTCCTCAGACCTCTCTCCACCTGGCCCACCATGCCTGAATTTCTCTTTCAGGAGAGACCAGAGAAGGAACAACCTTGGAGAAAGCCCATTACCCTATACTACAGAGCCAGTGACCTTGAGGTTGACCTACTGTGTTAAGAGATGTCTCTGTCCCAGAATAATACCTGGGGAAATACCCTTTAACGTGTTCATTATGGTAATAAAGACTCACGGTCCTGTTGAGGGCTGAGCAAGGGCGCTGGTTGACTTCTAGGTTCTGTGTCTTATGCATCCCCTGCTAATCGCCATCTCTGGTGCTAGATGTATCCGAAGACGTCCTCTCCTCTCCTGGGCCACCTGCCCAGCCCCTCCTATACCTGAGTGCACGCCACAGGCTCCCTAGTACACCACAGTAGGCCCTGTAGTCTAACAGTCTAACCCACAGTCTCCAGCTGCCATGGAGACATCCGGCCCTCTTGCTGAAGACCAAGGTTTCTCCTGGGATGGTCCCTTTGGCACTTAGGAATAATGGCGTGGGATGAGTAGAACGATAGAGTCCGAAAAAGAGGACAGAAGCGGGTGTGTGTCTGTCTAAAAGGACAGGCATCCCTGGCATCCCCATAGCTGATATAGCTAAATAGCCCAATGGGAGTGGTGGAGAATAAAGTCCTCAACCCCATCCTCCGGGTCCAAGGCCAAATCCATAGCCTCAGGAGAGGCAGAAAGAAATGTTTGTCATGGGGTGTATCTTGAGATCTGATACTGCTCCTGGCCCCTACCCATGCTCAGATCCCCCCACTTTTCTTCCAGTGGATTAGCTTTCCTCCATCAGTCCTCAGCGCTACACCCGCTAACCGAGTGGGGGTTGGTGGTGGAGGGCAGGGAGAGCCTACAAGCTGAAGAGTGGGCTTTAGGACCCAACGGGAACCGTGCCTCTTGCAGCAGCCTAACCCAGAAGCAGGGGGGAATCCTGAATCGAGCTGAGAGGGCTTCCCCGGTTCTCCTGGGAACCCCACCGCCCCCCTGCCGGCACACACCTGAGCAGGTAGGACCGTGCACACCCCCTCCCAATTCTCCGCGGGCCTTCTTTGGCTGGAGTCTCCCTGCTCGTGCTCCGGCCGCTTCCCTCTTCGGCAGTTCAGGCTTTCCCCATTTACTCCTCCCCCATTGCTCACAGTAGTCCAGGGAGGTGGGAGCCTGGGAACCCTGGGGCGCTGGGAAGCTCTGAGCCCCAGACCCCCGGAGCGCCTCTCTCGCAATTCGCGCCCCCCCTCGGGCATGCTCCATTCTCTCGCTAAGAATGGAAAGTGGGGGAAGGTCTGCCCAGGCCCCACGCCCTTGCACCCTCCTTGGCAGTACTGATTCAACCTCCCACCCCCACCGCACCTAGGCTGGAGAATGGGGAAGTGAGGGCCAGACAGGAAAAGTGGAGAGGGCGTGAAGGGAACCCTACTCTCCCCGAGGGATTCTCCCTTGCTTCTCCGAGGCTTCCCAGCCTGGAGCTCGGGACTTTGCCTCCACTCCCTCTCACTATGTAGGGAGCCCAGGTCTCCTTCCAGGTGCAGGACGATACACTTGGGTGCACAAGGGCTTTGTGGATGCCTGGTGGAGGCTTGCTGACCTTGTTCTCTAGGGGAAGTCCTTTCCGATTACAACTCTCAATTCCTGCCAACACCTCAGCACCTAGTGCAGAAGCCCCTCCCTTGAGTGCCTGTGTGTAGCCATGTGGTTGTAAGACCTATAAATTTTGGATAAAGGTTCCTGCATGCATCCAAGGGGAGAGAGATCCCAGTGAGGCCCAAGCCAGATCAGGCTGAGTCCAGATGGCTGGGGAAGGGGGTGTGGACCAGATCTGGAAGGCCTATCAGCCATGCCAGCTCCCTGCAAGCCTTGGCTTACAGAGCCTCAGGCTCCTGGTGTTACCCTAGAACTGGGAGGTCCCCAGGCTCCTGCCCTCCGGCAGGCTCTCTGGGAGAGAGCTGGATGGTACCTACTGTTTACATTGGCTGCTTTCCCCTTCCAGTGGTGGGCTGCCGGGCCCTGCTCGCTGAAGATGGGGGGCATCTCATCGTGGGTTGGTGTGCTTATGTGAAGGGCAGGTGGTCTGTCTGAATAACTAGTAGCCATGTGTGTATCTTGCCTCTGGGGGTAGCTGAATTGGGAGGGGGGGTGATGCGATAGAATTGGTCCAGAGCCATCCTAGTTTGGCTCTCAGGATGCTGTGAGGGTGGGTGACCCACACACCTGTCTGCAAGCTAGCTGTGTGCTCTGGATTCCTTCATGTTTCCCAAGGTCCCCCTGAGGGCTGGCTTTGGAGGAGAGGGTCTGTGATGGAACGGATTCCTGGGTGTGAGTCAAAGGCCTGAGACTCTTAACCCTACAAATTTCTAATCTTCCTTCCAGGTAAACCTCAGTTTCTTCATCCGTGAAAGACTTCTGCCCATAGCTGGCTAGGCTTACCTGACAGTGTCCCGGCCCCAGAAGGCCCCAGAAGGCCCCAGGAGATAAAGGATGGGGAAGCCCTGTGTAAACTCCAGTTAGGACTGCAGAGCTCTGGGAGAGGAACCCTCCTTAAATCTGGGTCAGTCTCTCTCTTCAGTTTCCCTCCACCACTGCCCAGGGGACAGAGGAGCCTTGCAGGGCTCTTGCCTGAGGATGCAGAACTTCCTGAGATCGGTAGCTCGCCCTGACACCAGGGCGCTTGCCAGACAGCACAGATCTTTGCACCAGGCTCTCTTTTTTTTTCTTCCCCTCAGAGGCCACACAGGAGCCTCTTCTCCACCTTCCTTTCCTCATCCCCGTCTGCGTCCTTGTCTGTCTCTTCCCTGCCCAGTGGCCTCCTTGTCCGGCTCACTGGGCAGGAGCCCTAATCGGATTGGACAGCTGAGATATGTGCGGTGACTGAAAGCAGGCAGGCGGGAGGGAAGCCCCTGGCACTGCCCTGGCGAGAGAGAGAGAGAGAGAGAGAGAGAGAGGAGAGAGAGAGAGAGAGAGAGAGAGAGAGAGAGAGAGAGAGAGAGAGAACCACCTTGGGCTTGCTGACTCCTGGCTTGGTCCCAGGGAAGGGGAGCCAGAGGAAGCCCAGAAAAGGACAGCTAGGGACTAGGGACCGGAGGTCGGGGTGGATCCCACACCTGAGGCCATGGTTGATACTTAGTCTTAAAATGCAAGCACCCTGGGACCATAGGTGGGAGCTAGGCTGTCTCCCCTCTTCCCATGGCTCCACTTTCTTCTCTGTTCTTTCCTGTTCATAGTAGTATTTGATGCTCCAATCCAGCCCATCTTGCCAGGACCTTCCTATAGGTCATATCTTGTAGCTACCAGGGCACTGTGTGTGTGGTGTGTGTGTATGTGTATGTGGTGTGTGTATGTGTGTGGTGTGTGTATGTGTGTGGTGTGTGTATGTGTGTGGTGTGTGTGTGTATGTGTGTGGTGTGTGTGTATGTGTGTGGTGTGTGTGTATGTGTGTGTGGTGTGTGTATGTGTGTGGTGTGTGTATGTGTGGTGTGTGTATGTGTGTGTATGTGTGTGTGGTGTGTGTATGTGTGTGTATGTGTGTGTGGTGTGTGTGTATGTGTGTGGTGTGTGTATGTGTGGTGTGTGTATGTGTGTGTGGTGTGTGTATGTGTGGTGTGTGTGTGTATGTGTGGTGTGTGTGTGTGCACGCGCGCGTGTGTCCCTATCGAGACTGTTTCCTTCCCTCTCCTTGGAGATATTTTTCTCCTTCACTCTCTG